TGGCTTTAATGGAAGCAAAATGCACTTAGCTCGCAGCAATCTACTTGTTAAAGTTCAAACCCTTTTCTTTGTGACCTTGGAGATGCGCAGCTGGATGAATTGTATCTCTGACATATCTGTTAGGTCCTTCATCAGAAATGACTCTGAAGAACACAGACAAAGATTGTTCCCTTGGATGAAACAAAGCAGTGTTCCATAACAGTTTAAAAAAAATAATAATTGCCATTTCTTGAAAATTTAGAGACCAGCTATTGGTATCCATGAAACACAGAAGTTTTAGGGCAAATATTTAAGTAAATAAATCTTATATTTGCCAAATCTGTCTTTGGTATCTCGTAGCATCTCACAGAAATAGAAGCTCGAAAATCAGAAACAAAGCAAGAATGTGTTGGCTCTCCAAAGACTTGTTGTGATATCAGTTTTATTTCAGCAGAAGCACATGCATCAGATCAAAAGTGAAACAAATTAATCTGTGCAGATGTTACAGGCTTAATTTATAAATCCAGTAAATTGCATGAAGTTGTGTGTGATTCAAGTGTTGGTACAGTCATCTCCTGCAAGCTCTCTCAAAAAGTCAAGTAACAGCTATTATTCCAGGCTTAGGACTGTCACACAGCAACTGAAAGTGTACAGATATAGGCCTTTATTTTAGATTTCAGTGTTGTTTGAATTAAAGGCATGCTCAACGTTTCCTGCCTTTGAAAACTTCCATTGTTTTTGGCAAACAGTTTTGGATCACTTATGTACATTATAGAATTAATACCACTGGAGTTGTAAATATTTTCAGAGCTTTTCAGTATCATAACATGACTTGGCCTATGGTAACTGCATGTGAACAAGGCAACTGCACAGCATACCCACGTTACAGATCTCAGCAGAAGAATACTGAAATATAATAAAGAGCTTTTCCAGTATCAGCTCCCATGGCACAGTAAGCACTAGTGAAATTCCTGCCTCCTGAACATGAACCATATTCTGTGAGAAAATGAAATGTTCTGATAGAGTCCCAAATTCTTCCTTTTAAACTGGATGTGACTCTCTGTGGTGCTGCATAGAAGGTGAAGGAAGCTTCTAAACAGTTCTGTCCAAAAAGAAAACATCGGTCTGTGTCAGCAACTTATCCTCAAGCATCCTCTAATGCATAAATACACTGCTAAACAGCTCCCTTCCCTGCTCAGGGAGGAGAGATTGCTAAAAGAGACAAGAAAATGCAAACCAGAGAGTGGTTCTAGTTATCAAAAGAAAAGGCAAGAGCCAGTTGTGTCCTGAGCGTTTCCAAGCTGGCTATCAGAACATCTTGCCATTGACCTCAATTTCTTGAGTTTCAATAAACTTAATTTTTGGTAAAGTAAACATTAACTATGAAGTCAAGAAATGTCTTAATTTTCTTGAACCATGTGCTAACTGACTAATTAGAGTCTCCTTCCACGGTTGAGTGTCGCAATGTTTATTGCAGAGGTCGATATCTCCAGCAGGTCATGGCCAGTTGGAAGATTCCTAGCCATGTGGAGTTTGAGCTATTCACCTACCATTCTGTTTTTCTGGATCCTCCTCTAAGGATTACCTTGTTCTCAGTTTGCTCGACAGACCTATTTTTTTCCACACTGCTCCTGTCATCTTGTGGGTGGGTAATCATCTATAATGCAGTGGAATTTGGAGACTTTGGTGTGATAAAACCAGTATTTGAGTAAAAACACAGTAAGTTTCTTTTGCTCTCATACTGAGTATCCATATAATAACTTCAAGGTCTTGATTTTCAAATACACTTCAGTTTCTCTTCTGTAAAATGGGAATTACTGTACTTTCCCATTTCCTAAGCTGAGGCTGAATTCATCAATATTTACAAAACTTTTTAAGATCCTCAACTGGAGGGAGTCATAGAATTAGAAGTGTATAAACAAACATGAGCAACAACCTCGAATAACAACACTGTGTTTTGACTAGAGTTTACAAGTTGCATTTAGCTCGTCTTCCCCAGCATTGTGAAATAGCTTCCCTGTGACAGGGATACTCCTTGTGGAGTCTGTCCGTTCTATGAAACTTCTAAGTTGTAGCATTTTCAAAAGCATGGGAGACTTTGAAAGCATTTTTAGGGTCAAAATAGCAAAAACCTTATTCCGCCCAGGAAAAGGAATAGAGGTCAGGAGGCAGGAGTTGTGTAATATGTCACAAAACAAACCTCCAGGAATTACAGGTATTAAGGAAAAAAAATCCACTACCAATCCGCAGCTCTTTTACACTCACGAATTATTTTAGAATTACTGATTATATTTGAAATGCACTAAATGAAGAGCAGTCAGTGCACTTTGCGTTAGCTCAGTGCTTTTGGTATGGTTTAAAATATATTGGAAGTTCAGCTGTTTTGTTTCAAGATTTCCAGTCACACCTCGGTCTCTAAATCCTGGTGGAGGTTTATTGGCTCGATGGGAATTCCAAGCTATAGTTAAAGAATATTTTACTGCAGTTTCCCAAGAGGTAGAGCTTGCAATTATTTCCGCTTTGAAAGCAGCTCTAAAATTTGGACTTCAGGTTCTGGTTGAATCTTTCTTGTGATGAAAGAGATACGCTGCAGTACAGCCCTTCTGTGCCTCCACAAGGGTCCATTTCAGATCTCCTGCAGAAGCACCACGCTGGCAGATCATTTCTGAAGAAGCATTCTCTCCTGACATCTGAGCCTTTAGAAATCAAACCTTTTCTTCTTCTGTGCCAAACGAGAGGCATGGAATAATACATATCGCAAGCTAGTGATTGTGATCTTCAGATATTTACTGATGTTTGTCGTATAAATACCCCGTGCCACAACTGTAGAAGTGAAGAGGGCTTCCCATTCCCAGTTGTCACGAGCTGCTACAACTGTCAGAAAACACTGGGAAGTCTTACAGGTAGATATGTGTGGGACATTGGGGACATCCTCACTGTTAAGGATGCCTCAGCTCACACTGTGAGAACACGTCCCCAGAATTCAGCCCAAGGACCCTGCTGCCTTGTGTTGATTTACTGTTAAAATAACCCTTGCTATGTTCTAAAGGTCGCGTGAAAAGGTCTTGCTGAAAATTAAAGGCTTGGTTTTGAAATCTGTTAAAAGGGAGGGTAGGAAGAAGTGAAGGCTGAAAATGCCCTTAGAACTGCACTTTACCAGAAGTTGAGGCAATCATTAGCTCTCAGCTCCAGGCTTAGTGGAGCTACAAATACACCGGCTTCCCCGCCAGAGAGTTACATCACGACCACAGAAGTTAAATAAAACCTTTTCCATTCTGCAATTTAAAAACATCTTAATAGAGAAGATTTCGTATTAACAGGGTGTTTTCTTCCCCGCTGCAGAAAGGAACATGGAAAAATTGACCTGTGTCCACTTTAGTCTTGACTTGTCTATTCCAAAGTCTTCTAAAGACTCATTTCACAGTCACTAAGCTGCGACCCTTCACTCGAGTTCATTCTGATTCCTTAAATAGACAGGTGTCCACAGAGCACACAAATTGTCTCTTCTCTCCTGGTTTCTCAGAAGAACTTATTGAACATCTGCACTCAGTTGACAAGGGCAGCAAGATGTGCTTTCAGTAGAACTGGTTTAAAGAAAACAAGTCACAAAATACCAACTTCTCCAACTTCTTGTTGGGGCATTTCCTCAAGAAGTGCACAAACCTTTGAACCAGCTTTAATCTTAAAGCCCACTCTAGAAGAGGCTCTGATCTTGTGGGCTACATGGTGTGATCCTAGGGAAGAGAATCACGTGGAGGGGGAAGGATGTATAAAAGTGATAGAAAAGCTCTGCAGTGAGTCGTCATGCTTTTGCACATTTTTCTATGTGTTGATCACTGCCACCTTGATCTATCTATTAATTTGACTGCGAGACATGACTTTATGTGTGTCAGATTCAGTGTCAATTCCATCTCCTGTCTGTTTCTCTGCCTTATGTCCAAAACAGCCATGTGCACCACAGCATCTCACTGACAGACACTTAAACAGAGGGGATTAAGAGCTGAGTCACAAAATGCAACTGGGGAATGATGAAAAAGGGGGTGTGGGGCAGGGGAGAATCGACTTCTTGAAGAAGCGTATCCTGGAAATTCTCTGGTTTACAGGCAGCTTTCTGCTTTGCAGCAAAATGCTCAGCCTGCCTGACTCCTCTTGCAAAGAGAGGACAGAACTGAGTGTGCAGGTGTCCTGAGCTGCTGTACTTGTGCTGCTGCTCCATCTGCCTCTACATGGAAACTTTTAGCTCTCCCTGAGTGTTATTCTGCAGATTCCGTATAGGAGACTCATGGCAGCAAATGATTTTTTATTTTTTTTTTGTCAGAATTTAAATGACTGCCAACACTAATAGTGAAGGGAATTTTGCCTTCCCAGGTGATTCACTCTCATGCCCTTTCCATAAATAAGTGGTTAGCCAGCCAGATAAGGAAAAAGCAGTCCAATCACCAAAACTTGCTCTTCCTCTGCCCCTTCATTTTTTATTCCATCATTTCTAAAGGGAAGTTCTGAAGGAAGACACACAGTCAGTCACTTGGCACTGCAGTACAAACACCACAGCCCTCCCCTCTTTGTACAGGTGCACCCCAGACACTTTGCACAGCCAAAAAAAAAAAAAAAAAAGAAAAAAGAAAAAAAGAAATGAAAACAAAAAAGAGAGAAAAAGAAAGGGAGAAGGAGGAAAGAAAAGTTTACGAGCCCGTGCGTACAAGCAGGAGGCTGCTTTGCAAGCTGAACGGGGTCCGTACCTGCAGCGCTGGCAGCCGCCTGCCTACCGCTGTGCTGGGATCGCGGCCACGGCCGCCCCCGGGAGCCCCGCGGCCGGTACTTGCCCGGCGCTGGCCCTGTGCCCTCCTGCCTCGCTTGAACCCTTTGTGAACCGCTTGCCCCGCAAACTCCCCGGGCCGGGCCACGCCAGCCGGCCCCACCTCACCCCACCCAGGGCTCCCATTGGCCCCGATGAAAGTCCAGCGAGCCTCCCTGCTGCTATATATATACATATAGGCGAATAGGCGGCCGTCGGTGCCGCTATGGGAGGCTTCAGCATCCTCCTCCGCTCCTCCGCCCTCACCTGCGGTCGCGCCGCTCTCAGCCCCTCCGGGCGCGGATGTTCAGTGCCGCGGGCGGCGTCCGCGCTGTGCGCACTGCGGGGCCGTGGGCATCCCCTGGCCGCGCTGCCCGGCCCACCCAGCTGGCCGCTGATGGGCAGCCTGCCCGACGTGCTGTGGAAGGGGGGGCTCAAGAGGCAGCACGAGACGCTGGTGAGCACGGAGGGATGGGGATGCTGCGGGGCGGGGATGAGGGTCGAGGCGGGTGCGCCCCGCATTCATCGTGGGGGATTCTTTTCTGCGCCCCCCAGGCTGAGTACCACAGGAGGTTTGGGAAGATCTTCCGCATGAAGCTGGGGGCTTTCGACTCGGTGCACATCGGAGCCCCCTGCCTGCTGGAATCTCTGTACCGCCGGGAGAGCGCCTGCCCGCAGCGCCTGGAGATCAAACCTTGGAAAGCCTATCGGGACTATCGCGACGAGGGCTACGGACTGCTGATCCTGTGAGTGACAGGGGAGGTGCGGGCGCGCTCACCGCTAAGCGGGGCTCAATGCTAACCAGGGCTCACCGCTAAGCGGGGCTCTCCGCGGTGATGCTGCGGGCAGCTGCGCTCCGTGACAGCCGGACGGACCGGGATTCGCTGCTCGGATCCGCCGCACGGAGCTGCGTCTGTGCCCGCCCCGGCCCGGAGACGCCTCCTTGCACGTGTCGTATGTTTGTGTGCCTTAATCTTTTATTCTCGCTGCTTTTATTTACATCTAGGGAAGGAAAGGACTGGCAGAGGGTGAGGAGCGCCTTTCAGAAGAAACTGATGAAACCCAAGGAGGTGGTGAAACTGGATAACACCATCAATGAGGTACTGTTCCTTCTGTCCCCCCGTGCCACTGGAAACCTGGGGGAAAAAAAAACAGATTGAGGGGTTCGGTTTGCCTGGGTAACTGCTGGTCTGCTCTGTGGTGGTAATTCTGTGAGTTCATGCTCAGAAATCACTCTGGGAATAATGAGTTGCAAACAGATTATCGGGGTCAGATCAAATGTGAGTCCTCACAGCTCTCAGGGGTTAGGAATGGGAACGGCGCTGGGAATCAGCACTGGAAAGCTTTACTGATAGGAGTCTGGGACATTGTGAAGCAGCTGAGTGGTATTTCGGAAACCTTCACTTAAGATCTCAGTCTACCACATTAAGAATCCAAATCTCTTTGTGTCTCTGGAGGCTATAGCTGATAATATCCTAACTCCATAGAACAACACCAAAATTCCACAGTGACACAGGCTCCTGCAAACAGAGTTTTTGCTTACTTTTCTCTTTCTTTTTGTTTCTTTCTTTCTTTCTTTTTTTTCTGCTTTTCCCTCTTCATTCTTAGTTTCCTTCTTCCAAGTAACACCTCTCCAACCTCCATGCTTCTCACTGAGTTTGAGGAGCATCTGTGATAAATAGCTTAAGACTCTTTGTCATGAAACTGTTGTCCCAGAGTCAGACTGAAGCATTTCATCTCTGGAGGAAAGATGAGTTCACAGAATTACGAACAGTAATAGCTTCAGAGTCCTGTAAATCCAAACATGTTCACATGGGAAATAATACTGTTAAAGGAACAGGAAACATAAGAAATTCTGTCTTATGAAAGATTGCTATTTAAAAGACAGATGTAATGTTAAATCACAAAGATTTTTATCAGTTGATATTGTCTTTGTTCCCTTTTCTTCTTCTCTTCACCACATAGGTCCTGGGTGACTTCATGTATAGAATAGATGATATTTGTAACCACAATGGACAAATGGAAGATGTATATTCAGAATTCAACAAATGGTCATTTGAAAGTAAGTGGTTGGGTGTTTTTTTTTGCCTGAGAACAGTATGCATTTTGTACCTGCTGAGACATTTCAATTGAACTGTGATCAGTGATGACCAGATGATAATTATTTCCAAACTATCAACTGAATATCGTGAAAAATATGCTGCAGAAAAGCCAGGGGAACATCAATATATGCCAGATTCATCAGCCATTACACAAACTCTTCAGTTCTGGACAGTTACCTGTGTGGCTGAGTGAGCTCTGCAGACCTGTCGGCTCAGGGTTGGCTCATCTCAGCAACCTGTGTGCTGAGCTCCTGAAAATGTGGGGTTTTGTTTTGGTTTTCCACGCTCAGAGGTGACGGCTGCTTTTGGAAAGGGGGGAATAGAAAGTGACAGCTCTGAAAAAAGTTATATATAAAAAGCTAGTGGAAAGAGGTGGAAAGCAGTGGGCTGTGGGATGCTGCCAGCGTTAGCAAGTGGTTTCTGGATGTAGAAGAAGCCAGAAGATGCTGGACTAGATGGCCTCTTCAGGCCCTCTTTTCCTGCACCTCAATCCTCTTCAGTAGGGCTGCCTACTATTTGTTGAATATTCCAACCCTGAGTCTTTTTGCAATGAAAGTGCTCCTACAAGGGCTGGGGCAAATGCACAGAAGGTGTTTTGAAGTGCAGTTCTCACAGGTGTGTATCACAGGGCAGAGAGCATTTTGCAGAAGGATAACACAAACCACTGCCTGACAGCAAGTGGTGGACACTGTGCACCTTTTCATTTATATCAGCTCATGTTAATGTTGCTCAACAACAGGTATCTGCCTGGTGCTGTATGGGAAGAGGTTTGGTCTCCTACAGCAGGATGTAGAAGAAGAAAGCTTGAATTTCATCAAGGCTGTTAAAACGGTATGGAAGAGTCTTTATCTGGGGCTGTACTTTGTTGATTTTGTGCCCCTGCTACTGGTGTGAGGATACTGGTTTAAATGGGTCAACCGTTTTTTTTTTCAGGGAAAAAAAAAATCCCAGACATTTCTGGGTAATCCCCAAAATCCAGTTGTCAGGTTGGCTAGTTAACTTTCCTCTCCCTCAGAGATGCTTGTTGTGCAATGCTGCTGTTTGTAGAGTGGAGCTGTGTAGGATTATGCAAACTGGCTGGGTTTGGAGGTTAGTCATTCTTGCAAGCACACCTGCTGTGCATCTTGCTGCAACTTGGACTCTGGTGATACTTATCTCCCTCATTTTAGCCATCTAAAAGACCTGGTCTAGCCCAGCTCTTGGATTCTCTTTTCGCAAGGTTGAGAGGCACTACTGAAGGGTGACTTTCCCCTTTCTAAAAGAGGGGCCTAAAATAGATAGGTTGAACCACCCTCAGCAGAAATCTCTTACTGTCCACTAACCGTGTTTAAATTTTAGCTGGATATGCTCTAAGCAGGATGAATCCTATCCTTTCTGTCCAGGATGGAAAATCTGCCAGAATCCCAACTTCCTTGTGAAAATTACCCTTACAGTCCTGTTACTTTACTGCCTACTTTTGCTCACAGACTACAAATAGATTTTAAAAAGATTTCAAAAACCTTCTCACCGCAGATGATGGCTACTTTTGGAATGATGATGGTGACACCCGTGGAACTTCACAAGGGTCTGAACACAAAAGTCTGGCAGGCTCATACTAAAGCATGGGATGATATATTTAAAACAGGTTAGTTTTTTAAACACAACTTCTTTCCTTTCTGTTCTGTTTCCCTCTTGTTGAAATGCATTTTCTTCATACCTGTTACTGCCCTACACTGCTGTTAATTGCTCAGATTAAGACATTTTTGCTGCAGCTAACCACAAACCTATTTCAAGCAAAGAGCACCATTTTCTTATGACTAACACTTAGTGCTAGCTGTGTGGCAATATCCATTCCCCAGGGAACCCCCAGAAACTTGGAAGCCAGTAAAATTTTAAGTCCAGTTTAATCTGTTGTAAAGTAAATAGCCACAGAGTGAGTGATGTATTTAGGGGCAAGATATACAAAGCCTGTGAGGGAACTTCCCTCGTAGGGTGCCCCTGAGAAACACAAAGTTTTACATGTAATGAAAGTCTGTTTGCTTAAAAGGAAATGTACGTAGAAATTTGGCATTTATCGTTTCCTTCCCATGGTAAATCAAAAGCTTATATTTCCCCTTGGGAAGTCTGAGTGCTAGGAGTTCTTTGATTCATTAACACCTTGATCTCCTTTGAAAATCCAAGCCAATAAATTTTACGTGCTTGTATTTCTTTTGCTAAGTATGTCACTCCACAAATCAGCGATTTCCTCTCCTGACTTTCGAATGGGGAATTCCTAATAGCTTACAGGAGGTTTTTCTGTACAAAAGTGACTTTTGTCTAAAAAGTGAGAATGACATTATTTACTCAGCACAGTGTTCCACTCCTGAAAAAGGAGCACAGATCGGTGTCCTCTATCAAAATCATGCATGTGAGCTCTGTTTTTTATTTTATATTTATAGCTATTTTAGTGCTTTTTCCATTAATTACCTCCTGCTACTCCCTCTTCAGCCAAGCACTCCATCGACACTCGGCTGGAAAGGCACTCTGCAAACCCTCAGGAGGATTTCCTGTGTGATATCTACTCTGGAGGGCAGCTTTCCAAGAAGGAGCTGTATGCCACCATTGCAGAGCTCCAGATTGCCGGAGTTGAAACGGTAAACCTGGTCCAAGATCTTAAAATCAGCATCCTTCCAAATCCCTGCTTTCTTCCACAATCTAACCATCACAAAAACTGAATGTGAGCTAAACCTGTGGTTGCTTCCACGGCCTGAACTCCTGGAGAACAACTGGGATGGCTCCTAATCCCCTTCCTTACAAGGTGCCATAAGGCAGTGGCCAATAATAAGTGTGGCTTTGAACTTCTGGTGTCTTCTCGTTTCTGTCTGTGTAAGTGGAAGCCTGACATTTCTGCTCGTTTTATTTCAGACAGCCAATAGTTTGCTGTGGGCTTTGTACAACCTTTCACGAAATCCACGCGTTCAGCAGAAACTTCTTCAGGAGATACAAAGTGTTTTGGCTGCCAATGAGAGCCCAACTGCTGAGAGCATTAAGAATATGCCCTACCTAAAAGCGTGTCTGAAGGAATCCATGAGGTAAAGTTCTCCAATAATTCCTGCAAAGCAGCATGACCACAAAGCTCTATCAGTTGATTTGCCCTAATTTTGTGCCCTTTATTGTTTAGGGTAAACTATTAGACATTAGAGGAAGAGAAAAGGTTGGAAATCTGACCCATGTTTTTCTTTCACTGTAGATTAACACCATCTGTGCCATTTACCACTCGCACTATCGACACAGAAATGGTTCTAGGAGATTATGTACTACCTGAAGGGGTAAGTCAATTAATTCACTTTATTACAATATTTGATGACCTGTCCTGTAAACCACTGATATTTCAGTTTGAAAACAACACTGCCAAAAGATGGATCCCAGCACCAGGGGAAAAATTTCCACAATCTGAAAACCATTCCTCCCTGCACTGTATTGGATTTAGACAAAAATATTTCAGTGTTCTATTTCAAGAATTTCCTTCAGACTATTTTCTGAAGAAACCGTGACCTTTTTCTCTGTTTGAATTTATCCTCGGAGAACTGCATGGCTTCAGAGGAAACTGCCACACCTTCACTTTTGTATTTTTTTTCTGTAAACAAACTGATTCACTTGTTAACTCTGAGCCGATTCCTAACGGACATCGTCTCTGTTGCTTTGTTCACAGACAGTGCTAATGATAAACAGCCATGCCTTGGGCTGCAATGAAGAATATTTCAATGGCTGGGCTCAGTTTAAGCCGGAGCGCTGGCTGCAGAAGCACTCAATAAATCCCTTTTCCCATGTCCCGTTTGGCATCGGGAAGCGGATGTGCATTGGCCGTCGCTTAGCAGAGCTGCAGCTCCACTTGGCCCTGTGCTGGGTAAGCGCTCCCTCATTGCTCCTTTACACGGTCCACCTCGTCAGCCCCAGCAGATGAAGCCTTCTAACTGAGATATTTGTGCTTCAGATCATTCGCAAGTACCAAATCGTAGCAACCGACGCCAATCCGGTAGAAACTCTGCATTCAGGAATCCTGATCCCCAGCCGGGAGCTGCCCATCGCGTTCCACAGGCGGTAAGGTAGGAGCACGAGTGTCTCCTGGGTACCTGGGGCTTTCCCTTCAACAGTCCCTTTAAAACTCACCTAGATCCGAATGTAAGAGAACAGCTGATCTTCCGCGCTCCCACACTGTGAGGTTTATTAAACGCTGTCACGTTGCATTACTTCAAACACAAACCATTCTGTGTGCAGCAAAAGGAGATCACAATAGAGTTTTTTTTTTTGCTTCTTAATACAGCCTGCAACTTGACACATGACAGTCCTACTGCTGCCTTTCCCGAAGAAATACACAGCCCAGGAAAGCCAAAACCTGTGGTAACCCGTGGAGAAACTGCAACACACATCGCTCAAACAATTGCTAAGACAGAAACAGCACCAACAAAAAGCTCCCCTGATTGCAATTCTCTCATTGGAAAATGTGGACAGTTAGTTCAGCTGTACTCAGCAACTTTAAAAGGAAAGAAAAATGCTATGCACGTTCACATAGCTATGGGAATGCACTGATTTAGTGCAGCAGAAGGACCGTGCATGACAGAGCTTCTTCATGAGCTTGGAATGTCATACAGCTGTTGCTGGAGCACAGGATGCAAGCCCTGCCAGGGGAGCAGCAGTCACTGCTGCACTGGCCCTTCAGCTCAGGACCAAAGGCTTGGGAAGCCACTGTAAAGGAAAGGGAATTTGCTCTGCTTAACAAACTTAACATCAGGGTTTAAAAATTAGATTAGTGAAATCAGTACTTTTTCCTTGAAGTTATTCACATCCTTAATAGAAGGGGAATAAGGATGAAGCTATATAGTGGGATTTATTCCTTGTGCCTGCACAGTGCTTCAGTTTGAACATTTGCAGTACTGTGCCTGCCACACAATCTGCTTATACCACAGGGCTTCACGCGTTCAACTCCCATCACACCCTCACAGCAAAATATTAGCTGCCTTTTTTGTATGAGAGGCCTTATTCAGTAACGGAATAGCTGGAATCCTATGGGTTCTGCCACTATTAGATGATGATTATCCTAACAGGATAGTTCCTTCAGCAGATTAGTGATAGAAAATGCATGTCTAAAGCATCACAAGAAATGAGGAACGTAAGCATTTCCAAGAGCTCTATTTCTGTGATTACAATACCTGTATCTACAGGTTAAAGACATCACTGCCCTGCATGTGATGCTGTATATCAGCTATTGTGGTCACAAGTGTATTTTTCCCAAGATACAGTTTCAAGTGAAGGTTTTAATACATACACCCATGAGTGATTATCTTTATTTTGTTATATTCTGACATCATGCAGTTCTTAGCGTTTGTTGTCTCCTATGGCATTTTGTTTGTTTACTTGTTTGTTTTCCTCTGGTTTTAGTTCAAACATTTGAACGTGTCTATATGCCAATGTATGCAGCAACTTGTGCATTGTTTGAATCTTTACAGCCAGTTTTGTAATACTCAGTTTTGTAATAAAGATTTTTTTTTCTACAAATTGTCATCTGCAGTCTTCATGTTGTTACAGAAATCTTTCTTACCTGTCATGGTAATTTTGTGTGGGGAAAATATCCCTGTGGTCCTTCCCTACCTGCATCTCTCACATCTCATTGGGCTTACAAAATCAAGTTAATTTAATTCAACCCCCCCTCCCCCCAGATGTCTGCTTTATGATCTCCTAGCGCTTGATTTGTGTTCTGTAATCACAACACAAGGAACAACCTGGGGAGAGGCTGATAGAAAACCTCAATCCTGGTCACTAGTTTTATGATTTGCCATTGCTGGTACAGTACACTGTCCTGTACCAACAGCTGCTGCCAATGGCTCCAGCACGAACTCAGCTCTGTCTGTTAGCAGTATATGAAACCTAATGGCCAGTGATTAAGAGGGTATTAATAATGATAGCCCACAGCCTCCCAAGACTCAGAGATTTTTGCCTGAGGGAACCAGGAAGGCTCAGTCTGGAGAAGAGGAGGCTAAGGGGACACCTTATTGCCCTCTTCAGCTGCCTGAAAGGAGGTGGTGGTGAGGTGAGGGTCAGCCTCTGCTCCTAGGTAACAGCGATGGGCAGCGATGGGATGAGAGGTGTTGGCCTCAGGTTGCATCAGGGGGGAGAGGAGGGGGGGGTGTCAGATTGGATACTAGGAGAAATTTCTCCTTGGAAAGAGTTGTTAAGCAGTAGCATAGGCTGCCCAGGGAGGTGGTGGGGTCACTGTCCCTGGGGATGATCCAGAACCATGGAGATGTGGTATTGAGGGATGTGGCCGGCAGACAGTCATAGTGCTGTGGGGTGGGGTTGGGTCTGGGGATCTTAGAGTTCTTTTCCAACCATAATGATCCTCTGATTCTATGAAGGACAGCATTATGGGCCTTTTGTATCCACAGTGCATTCTGAACACGTTTCTCTGCATCATACAGAGCACTGAGGTCTCCAGCAATGGGGCTGTTACATTTCCCTTTCACTGTGACAAGATAAAATCAATGTAAAGTTTTAAGAAAGGATGAAAACAGCTTGAACCTTTGAAGGATGGAAAGAAATGATGAACCAGAAAAAAAGCCACCCAGCCAGCACTGACAGACAGCCTGGTGGTTACACTCAGAGCAGATCTGACAGCTATCACAACCATGCTGCCTTTGCCAAGTTGAGGTTGCCTCTGGCTGAACGAATGATGGTGTAACAAAGATTGCATATGACTATGTGAGACTGTCACTTTTTGGAAAATCATATTGCAATGGGCCCTTCTGGAGACTGCAGCCTGGGTGAGGGCTGACACAACTCCGTCGCCCACCAGGCACCACTCAGGGCTGGAGCTCCCACTCAGGTGCCAGCCCATGTGGGAACTGTTATGATGTTAATGATGTATACTGCGTTTGTTCTTTGAGTGTCAGAAACCAATGGTACTCCATCAGAAGCAATGGAGTTGTGCCAATACAAAACAGACACTAATAGAAAGTCAGTGTTCAATTCAAAACAAATTCAGGATTCTTGTTCAGTTCCAGGCTTACCACTTTACTTTTCAATGCTTTAACTTTTAAAGATGACCAGAGAGAAGAAGTGTTATCTACTTGAACTTACCTTGACAGCCCAGTAATCAGACATTTCAAAATCCTTTATTGCTTCTGGATTGTAAATCACAGGTTCATGCTTACTTGGCTGCTTATTAATTTCACTCTTTAAATGTAGTGGACCCAGAGATTTACATAAGTACTGCTGTACGTGAGGCACTGATTGACTCAGTGTAAGCTGTGGTACAGATATGTGCTGTCTTCTGGATTTCTGCAGGTACAACAACCACTGATCTGGAAAAGCCAGTTCCGGAATCTTGGTCTGTTTTCAGGTTCCTAAAGTTTTCAAAGAACTCCATTAATCTGCTACCTCAAAGTAAATGGCCAAAACAATTTACTTAGGAAAACTGGTAATTATCAAACTACACAGATAATGAATGACCAACCAGACTTTCACATTAAGAAGCTCTCGCAGCTTTTTGATCCTCATATTTCAGAAGTATGAGAAGCAGCACGTTGCATCTGGGATTAACAAAGATCTATGGAACGTTTTACTTATTGTCACTGGGATGCATTCAGTTCCGTTCTTTGTTTCCTTGAAACGATTGGCTCTGTCAGAGCTACTTACTGAAAGGACAGTGACAATGCCACTTCCCTATTAACATTTGTTATGGTTACTACTTAGAGAAAGATAATTGGATCATAAAATGAAATGAATTAGTTGGCCTCCCCATTAACTTTCTCAACAAGGAAGTGAACTAGGTTTACACATCCAGAAGGAAGTCGGTTCTGTTCAGGCTTTTGGCGTGTTGGTGGAATGATATGAAGTTGGAGCCAAACACTCTGTGCTTTAGGGAGTGCAAACGCCAGTTTTCAAGACTGACAACCTGGCATTTCTCATATGTGTTTTGTTCTTTATAAACTGGGTATTGCATAGCATTTCTCCGAGTCAGTCTCCACGTACAACTTTTCAGTGCTGTGATTAAATCGCAGATAATGTGTTCCAGTTTGATGTTTTCTGTACCAGGAGGGATGTTTGTTCTCAATAACTGCAGACAGAATTCATGTCTGTGTCAAAGCTGATTTTAGCCAACGTGACGAAGTCACCCAAGCTCTGAGAAATTAATTCTGAGAAAAGTTAATAGCTGAAGTTCATTTCAGAACAAGTTTTAGGACAACTCAGCACATCATTAATTTTAAATATGTGAAATATCACACTGATCCCAGTGGGACTGCATATATGTCAGTGGCTATTTAATGTCTTAAACTGTTCTAAAAGAAAGAAGTTTAACAATTTCCAGCATGTCTCTGTGGCACAACACCCAACATTCACGTAAGGGGTGTAGCTCTAGAGGAGAATGCTGCCTTTTTACTTCAGTGAACTTAAACAAAAGGGCCTATTGAGGTTAAAGCTCCAAGCAGCCTGGTTCATCTCTGCTGGCTGTGCCTGTTGTGATAACCTGTGGAATGATATACCACAGCGTGGGTGGTTGTATTCAATTTTTTTTTATACGTCCTTCCATGCGTGTCTTGGGAAAAAGCGTGAATGTTACCTTATGAAACATTATGCTTACCAACAATTACTGATGGGTAATTGAAATGCTGACACACACACACGTCCTGGCCCTCCTGTGATCTCTGCTCAGTGCTGTCCATTCTCCACTCCACCGCTGCAGCTCAGGTGCAGTCCTTTGGCCTGAGCTCCCTTCTGCACAATGAGGGGTAACACAGGAATACATCTGTTGACACTGAGATGGAACTGATATCAGCCACCCTTTGTGTAAGTGGTGCAGATGGAGACAGTGCCTGGGATCAGGTTGTGAGTTATGGCATACACACTTCCAGACAGCACAGCAGTAATGTACATTACTGTTCCCTTCTTTCTTATTTCTCATATTCCAACAGCTCTCTTCACCCTATATTCTACATTTCAATATTCTTTCATGCTCGTGAAGTATGACTACAACAACTTTCACCTCTTGTTCAGAGCGCTTTGATTTCTCTGCTCTCAGCTGTATGAGCAGTAGTCTACAGCTTTGGA